ATAGAAGTCTTTTTTTTATTTTAAAAATAAAACAAAATCATATTTATTATAAATAATTATATTCATCAACATATAAGATTACTTTTTTCACAACTTAGATGAAAATAATTCTCTTTAAATCCTCCTATTAGTTTAGTAAGACTAAACCACTAATTCGAATTAATAGACTCATTTGACTCCTTCACATGCGATGCTCACATTGAATCAATAGATTAATTATACTATATATAGTTTGATTCTTTTCGATTCTTAACTATGTGGGATTAACATTAGCGAGTCTTTGTATTTTTATCTCACACACTATTTATGTTTTCCACACACTAATTCTTTTAACCATATAAAAACCCGTTTATTGACCTCCAAAAAGATCTTCGTGGGAAGTGAGGAATAAGCTATTTATTACGACCTCACACTCGGCGCACTAATTTGCATTCTCATCATCCATTGAGCATCCACGTGCACCGGCACGTGTATGGTGAGAGGATGAAATCGATTTGAAAAAATATATATATATATATAGTTTTTAATTTTAATTATATTTATCAAGTGGTTCTACAAATTCGACTAATTATTCTCCTATTCTACAAATTTGGAATCGCATATGAAATGGGCCACACAACCCACAATTAATCACACCTTTTCCTCGTGCTCCATCCAATTTCTTCCACGTTGTTCATGTTTTTTTTTTATTTTTCTATTCAAGCATTAAGGTGGAGAATATATATAGTTCGATCTCAGAATTATAATTATCTGATAAACTCTTTACCAAATAAGATTATTAATATTTTAAATTGTATTATATTAATATTAACATAATTAAGTATAAAAAAAAAAATCTAACCTATTGTGATCCCAACATAACTTTTTAAGAACTAAATTGAATTAGTTTTAATGTTGATATAATATTATTCTTTGGATCCATAAAATATGAAAAATTTGTGTATCTTATAAAAAGGAATTCATCGATAACGACGGGTCGAAAGGATTATTATTTAGTAAAAATCAAAAAACATAAATCATGTCTTAATGGTCGATATTATACTAAATAAATATTAAATAATCATTTTCTATAATTTCTTATATTTTTATTTATTTCACATATAAATATTTTATTAAATTCTGTTACACTAATTTATTGAACAGAAAAAGATTTGTGTTGATGTAACATTATTTCATAGTATAATTAATTATACATGTTCAATAAAAAATTGTGAAGATGCAAAAAAAAAAAAACTATAATTGTATCTTTAAAAATACCATAATTAAGATAAATAGACTCAAAACCCAATAAAAATTAACTCATATATAAAAAAATAAATGTATATCTGTATTAGTTTAGAAACAAAAATAAATAAATAAATATATCTGTATTAGTATTTCGAGAATTATAACAAAAAGAGTAATAATCCCCATTGGAAAAATATGAAAAAGATTATACCTCCCGAAAAAGCCAAAAAAAAAAGAGATAGGGTTTCTCAATAATTCACCTTTTTTCATTAAATGATATTTAATGTATATATATATATATTATAATAATAATTATTATTATTATTTTGCATGCATTTTATTGTGATTGATGTCGTGAGCAAGACGGGTGAAAAAAACATGCACATCGTACAAGATATTATGGAGATTAGAAAATAGCCCTACCATTGTCCAACAAGAGACAATAATTATGATGAAAAAAAAAAAAATATATATATATATATATATATTATTTTTTTCCTTTATAAATATTAGTAGACGACTCCAAGAAAACGATTATGGAAAATAGGAATAAACATAATATACTAAACCCAACCATGGGAGTGTGTATAGAGCTTATAAATGAGGGGGATACGAGTCTCGGTCATCTTTTGCTACAAGCTTCGAACTAAGCCGGTAAGCTCACCGCCCGGTCTAAACCTTCTCCTCCGCCATGAACCCCCCCTCCTCCTCCTCCTTCCCTTCTTCTTCTTCTGCCTGCCCGCCTTGTCCTACTGCTTCCACTTGGATTTAGACCGGTCGATCGATTAGATTGGATAGAGATAAGGAGAGGGAAGATGCTATGGTCCGAGCTGGAGATCTCCTCCGGCAACACGAGGAGTTCTCCGGTGTCTTGGTCGCAGTCTCGGCCTGCTTCGATAATACCAGGAGTTCTCCTCCATCAAAGTTGAGTTCCATGGCTGAAGAGCCGTCTGGAGCCATGGCCCCGGAAGCGGAGGAGGAGGAGGAGGAGGGGAGGGACGAGGGAGATGTCCCCGGTAGCTCCTCGAGGGAGTGGCTCCAATTAGGCCTCGGCAACCCGCCGCCGCCGCCCCACGTCCGAAGGCAGCGGGTTCCGACGGAGCTGGAGTTGTTCAGGGACAGGCCTTCGTCTTCGTCACCGTCGGTCGCGGCGACACAGCCGACGACGACGATGACGACCATGCCGGAGGCTGGCACTGGCATAAGGGTGGTTGTTCCGGCGAGACAAGCCGGGGTTTGGCTCGCACTCGAGGCTGCTGCAGACCAGTGAGTGAACCAAGGACAGTAGCAATTTTTCTTCCTGCTGTTTTCATCAGGCCAACATCTAACTCATCTCTTGGCACATAACATTCATGCAGAGGAGGAGGAGAGGCTTTGTTGCCTCAGATTCCAAGGAACTACCTGAGGATAAAGTACTCGTAGCTACTATTTTGAGCAATCTCTATTGGATCTTCTTGATACCTCATTGGCTTTACACTCCCTCTAATTGCTGCTTACAGGGATGGGAGTTTGACAATTAGATTGCTAATGAAGTACTTGATGAACAAGCTGGGCTTGGAGGATGAATCAGAGGTAAGTAAAACTATAAGCTCACCTTCATCTTGTTTCTATGTTTATTTGGATAGATCATTAAGCTCCTTCTCCTGTGGCTTTCCATGGTTGGTGCTGGGATATTGGTGAAAGAAACATGGGAACTAAAAGGGACACTTGAGAATGTGGGCTTCCAACTTGCATAGTAACTTGAATTTAGGTGAGATGTTAGTGTCTGAGTGGCACATCATCTCTCACCATGATTAGGGCTTCCTGAGAGAATTCGACTGTGGTACTGCTGCCTGAGTATGGTGGGTGGTGAAGTGGTGGGTGCATGATGGGCCTTTCAGGGAGGAGATGAACACACAAACATACACATACATATGCTTCAACCTTTGTTGTGGTAGGTTAATGCTATTGGAAAGATTACAAGCCAAGAAAGAGAGTCTGATAGGTTTACATGGAGTAAGACAACCCAATGAGACTTGGCATGTTAGGCTTCTTGTGTGCATGGAAGAATGACTCCTCAAAACCATGGATTTTGTTTTAAGACACTGATGGAGAAGTGTGTGAGAGAGAAACCACCCGACATACCAATGTAGTCATTGGCCACCTAACTTTGGTGACAGCTATGCATTTCCAGCCACCAAAACCATGCAACTCTCTTTTCATGATGAGCTTCAGATCTTGTTTTATCTTCAATTCACCAGCCATTGCAGAATATTTTATGTTTTATCCATGCACATATATGTGTGTATGTATGTATATTTATATATATATATATATTTATATATGTATGTATATACAAGAAGAGTTGTTTATATTCATTTCTTTTCATAAAAGGAATTGCCAGCTTACTACCTTACCAAGGATTTGGATAAAAAAAGATCTTTCAACTTGAACAAGAGAAAATAAATAATAAAGTTAGATATATCATATATTTTTTATTTTTTATAAATTATTATAAGTAATTTATCACAATTGATTCTAAGACCAGCAGAATTTGTGGAAGCAGATATATATCTGCCATTGTAATCCAATATCCTTAATTTCTCTCTCATTCTTTCATTTTTAAATGCTGATTTTTTTCTGATTCGATCCATATATTTAATTTTAGTGTTTAGATTATTTTCCAGAAAATAAATTGTACTCATTTCAAATAGTAATGATGGAGAAATATAGTGAGGACAGGGGATTGTGTCTCATAGATGTTGTGGAAACTTGCAGATATGTGGTGAAACTAGTGATGCATGGAGAGGTAATGTGAGGACTAAGAAAATTGTGTTCAAAATAGTTGACAGATATATGTTTATCTCAATTTTACTAAGAATATTATCTTAAATAACAATTAACATTAGGTCTCATCAGAATGCACCATAGTCTAATGTAATATAAATAATAAAATAAATACATTTGAATTATGATCAAATGATGATAAATACATTTAAACTATTTGTATTAATATTCATACTTGAAACATAATGAGCTTCATGAGCTTATATTCAATGCTTCATGAGAAATGAAATTTGCCATATTGTTTCTGTGTAGGGCTTTCTTTCATATACAAGGAAATTTTCTCATGCAAATAAAATAAATCTTATTTTGTACTATCTACATATAATTAATTCCCTTAAAACTCCTCTATATGTAACTATGCATACAACATGAGAAATGATGTCTTCACCAAATCTCAACATTCAGCTTATTGGAGTCTAAAATCATCATTTAATTTGATTGATGAAAAATAAGTGCAAACTGCAAATTCCTTCTTCCTAAATAAGATCATGACATGAAACTGTCTTGTGTTTAAGAAGTCATTGCCAAGCCAATTAAGTCACTATGTTTTCTGCTGTTAGAGCTGTGTGCAATCAAAGCTGTATTATATGTACTGTTTCATGCGTCATCTAAGGACATGAATGCAGTGATGTATTGTGGTAGGGGATTCAATGAAACAGTAGTGGGAATGGCTCATTCAGAGACATTGCCATGATCGACGTCCCTCTACTGCAATCCAACATGACCCTACCTTACAGTTTCAGGGTTAGAAATGGCGTTGGAAGAAGCTTCAATAGCTCAAGTGATGCACTTTGTGACAGTTTGTAGAGACCCACACGATCACTAGTCATTCACAACACTCCAAAAACATGCAACTCATAGGGTTATGAGACATGATTGGGACAAGATTTTTCATCATGAGACTTGACACAGATGGTACAGTTCTATTGTACAATCTATCATCAGCATAAAGGGAAATAGAAAATATTCTAGTAATTAAGAATGATTTGAAGAATATTTCTCTAATCTCAAATCATTATGCTATTGATGCTCTATTCATAGAGTTGCAAACAGATTCTGTAGCTCTCTTCAATTGGACACACATAACAAACATTGATGATAAAACTTGAACCAGGTGGAGATCACATGCAGAGATCAGGTGATGCTTCCCTTGTGGACATTGGAGTATGTTAGAGATAACATATGGTTCTCCGGTGGCGTAGCTCCGATGATACTCCCTGACACACCGAGCATCAACCATCTCATGACATTGCACTACAGGAGAGGAAAAAAGGATGGCCAAGTGCACGAACCTCCACGCCGATGAACCTCATCCCATTGACTCGAGGTCTGATCTTCCAGGTCGCAGAGGAGCAATCCTAGTGCATCGACTTCTATTCTTTCTCATTCTAATCCATTCAGGAACAGCCAAAGACAGATGACATCAAGAAGTATAATTAATTCCTTTTCTTTCTCCTTTGCTGAATTGCTGCTATCTGACAAATTCCAGTTCCTGCTGCAATATTTCTTCATCAGCAGTGTCGCATCAATTCTTTCCACTGACTTGAACTTTACTTTCTTCATTTAAACCTGGAACAAAGAAATACAGCAAGAATTGACATGTAAATGTAATCTGGTTGTAATGGTTTGAATGGGTGATGAGAGCTACTAAATACAAACTCCTTTTTGCTGCACTCTGATATGGAAGAACGCAATGCATAACAAATAGTCGGAATGAGAGACAGCCATTGCTGGTGCCAGGAATATAAAGTGTGAAACTTGTGGACTGAGAGCTGAAACAAGCACAAAAGCAAGTATCACAAACATAAGGTTGATCAGTAACCTGTAGACACAAAGAATGGACAGATAAAGAGAACCACTTCGGTAGCACAGAGCAATGCTATTAAAGAAAAATATGGTCGAGGAAAATGCAAATAGAAAATAGGAAAAGAAGTATAATTATGCTACAAATGTAGCAGCAGATATGTCTCAGCTAAACAAGAATCAATTGGTCTCTTCATAAAAATTGCAAAGAGAAGTATAATAATGGTACAAAATTGACTTCAAGATTTTTTGCTGCCCATAAAAGGGGATCCAACAATAGCATAGTTCATGAAGACAACCAGCAACCGTAAGCATTTCCATCAATATACACACATGATCTTTACATAATTTCAGTTTAACAAAAAGCTGAAAGATCAGTATAATTATGCTACAAATGTATAATGTTATGCTACAAATGTATGTAGCACAGAGCAATGTTATTAAAGAAAAATATGGTTGAGGAAAATGCAAATAGAAAATAGGAAAAAAGAAGTATAATTATGCTACAAATGTAGCAGCAGATATGTCTCAGCTAAACAAGAATCAATTGGTCTCTTCATAAAAATTGCAAAGAGAAGTATAATAATGGTACAAAATTGACTTCAAGATTTTTTGCTGCCCATAAAAGGGGATCCAACAATAGCATAGTTCATGAAGACAACCAGCAACCGTAAGCATTTCCATCAATATACACACATGATCTTTACATAATTTCAGTTTAACAAAAAGCTGGAAGATCAATTTTCTTTACTAATCCATTCTTATCTGAAATCAATATATCAAAAAAGATTCAGAAACAGCACATCGGTAGACAACTGAGCATTTGTGATACCATAGCTGATGACAGTAGAAGTCTCGTGTATTTTCAGAAGAAACAATAGAGTTCTCATTAAAAGAAAATTACATCAAAGAATTACGTATTCCAGATGAAAATCTATGCCATAAATTTCAGATTCCAGAGCAAATCAATAACAAATGCGTGTAACAATACGGGCCTATTTAAAATTTGGGTCCCATCTTGTGTTTCAATAAGCAGTAGTAGTTCCCAGATTACATTAGGGATCCCATAAGCATGGACCATCCAATTCAATTTTCACATCTTACTGGAAGCTCACCACAGTATACATTGTTCATCCTCTATTTCGTGCCAACTATGCCACAACATCCCATACCCATGCACATCATTTGCTCAAAATCTGTATACACAATGCCCAAAGCCAGTTCCTCGCCAACCATGTTGTGATGGAGCCATATGAGCAATACATTCCAACCACATAGACTAAAATTGAAATGTCAAGGTGTCACAGAGATCCAACCAGGCACCGATCAACCAAAATTGAAAATTTCCTAGTATTGCGTTCAGTTGCCATTCATAATATTTTATGCTCAGACCTGTGCAAGCAACCATTGCAACATTCACGCGGTTAGAAAATGAGTAAATGCGACTTCTAATGAATTTATTAGCAAAAGTTTCAAATGCCATATCTTCCCACTAAGTCATTTCCATATATATGCATACATGCAGGACAACCATTAATTGTTTCCAAATTTCTTTTTTATTAATTGAAGAGATCATCATATCTTTTCTATCAATACTTTGTAAATTTGTATCACCTCTGACCTCGTATAGCACCTCAGTTTGAGCGATTTACTTCTTTCTCATTGGACATTTGCTGGAACACTTCAGCAAACATCCCATCATATTCTCAAGCTATAGTACTTCCAGCTCACAACAGATGCATTCATATCTTATTTCATCTTTCTAATACTATACCTCAATCATCTTAAGACCACCATAAAACTAATCCACAGTTTCAAACATGGCCAATCCTACTGCAGGTAAGTTGCGTACATGTAACTTCTTGGACCCCAAAGTGATAGGAGCCTCATGCATTGCTTTCGTCCTTTTCCTAAAGAGAAGTTCCCTGCTTTAGCTACCTAATATCTTGCCTCCCGAGAATTATGTTGTTTCATACTCATGTCAAAATATGCCACCAAGGCAAAACTCAACGAGTGGAATTATAGTGCACACGTAAATGTTCGTTCTATGTAGTGGTATGCATGGTATGTAGTGGCATATTGTTGTGTAATAGCACAAAAGGGAAGGAAATATGCAAACCTGAATCGTGTCAGTGCTTTGTCAGACCATTGCCGGAATCATGTTAGCTCACCATATTGTTATCAAACTCTTTTAGGAAAGACCATTTCACTTCTTAGTAGCACAGTGTACTCGCAAATATTTCCATTGTTTTGTTAAATAAAGCTAAAATGCCTAGTTCTCGAAAGAAGCAAGACTCAAAGATCATTAATTAGTAATTACTAAAGCCCTTATCAGTTAAGCATGTCGGTAAGTGTAACAATGATCAAAATGAGGGGAACATAATAAAGTACAACTAAAAAAAGTAAAATAACAACTTATTTAAGGGTAAAGAGAAAAGTTGAACATTCAAATTCTACATTTGAAGGCCATAACAACTTATATTTTCCTTAACAGCATGAAGAAGCGGATGCATGTGCAGATGCTTCATATTTTTGGTGGGATCAAAACTTAATCGTAGCAAAATATAACAACATGCAGGACTTTTTCAATACATCAAACATGTCTCACCTCAATGTACACCAGGGAACTCAAGTGCGAGATAATGGTCACCGACACAAAGCATGAGAAGTGGAAATATGTTGAGTGATTTAAACAAGCTTATGGAGACAAAAGTGTGAGAAACATAAAAAAATCATCCCATTGTGTTCAATGAGTTGAATAAAGAACATTTTAAATTTGAAGATGCACCAGAGAATGAGTAACATAAAACCAAGCATCTATTTATCATACTTAATCATCTCTGCCTCAAAAAGAGCATGAGAAGTGGAAATATGTTGAGTGATTTAAACAAGCTTATGGCGACAAAAGTGTAAGAAACATAAAAAAAATCATCCCTTTGTGTTCAAT